TCGGATCTGGTCAAGGCGTGTACAGAGGCGATGGCTGGAAGCTTCTCTCTCCCCCCTCCTTTCTCTAAGACCAATAAAAACAAATCCTGGTGACGATTAGAAAAAGGAATCATAGCCCTAGCTGATTTGGCTCTGTGGATGGAGCACCAGCCTGCAGACTGAAGGATACGGGTTCCATGCTGGTCAAGAGCACACACCCAGGTTGCGGGCTCCATCCCCAGTGTGGGCTTGGGGGAGGCAGTCAATCGATGATTCTCTCTCACCATGTATGTTTCTGTCTTTTTCTTCCCCTCTCCCTTCCTCTATCAATCAATAAAAATATCTTTTTAAAAAAGGAACCATAGAAAATGTGCACTTTCCCCCCTAGCATGCTTCTGAGGTTCATTCACATCGTAGCGTGTATCAGTACTTCCTTCCGGTGCTGAGTGATGTTCCACTGTATGCGTCTGTCACACTTGCTTATCAGTCACCTGCTGGTGGCCTTCCGAGTGGCTCCACCTTCTGGATATTATGAATAGTGAATGCTGCTGTATTCATGCTGGAACATGTAACTAAGGCCTTGTTTTCAATTCTTTGGGGTACATACTTAGGAATAAAATTGCTGGGTCATATGGTAATTCTGTGTTTAGTTTTTTGAGGGACCAACAAAATATTTTCTACCAGCAGTGTACAAAAATCCTATTATCAACATTGTGGCCAATATTGGTTTCTCTCTCTCTCTTTTTTTAAATTATACCCATCCTGCCCTAGCCAGTTTGGTTCAGTGGATAGAGCATCTGCCCTGTGGACTGAAGGGCCCCAGGTTTGATTCAGGCCAAGGGCACAGGCCCGAGTTTTGGACTCGATCCCCGGTGGTGGGTGTGCAGGAGGCAGCTGATCATTGATTCTCATAATTGATATTTTAATCTCTCCTTCTCCCTTCCTCTCTCTGAAATCAATAAAAATATATTTTTTAAAAAGTACACCCGTCCTAGTGAATATAAAGTGGTAGGTGATTTTGTGTATGTGTGCATGTTTTTATTCAATGAACATTTAAAAAAAATAAGATATTAGCCAAAACCGGTTTGGCTCAGTGGTAGAGCGTTGGTCTGCAGACTGAAAGGTCCCAGGTTTGATTCCGGTCAGGGGCATGTACATTGGTTGCGAGCACATCCCCAGTAGGGAGTGTGCAAGAGGCAGCTGGTTGGTGTTTCTCTCTCATCGACGTTTCTAGCTCTCTATCTTTCTCCCTTCCTCTCTGTAAAAAATCAATAAAATATATTTAAAAAAAAAAGATATTAATTTGAGACAGAAACATGGATTTGTTGTTCCATGTATTTATGTATTCATTGATTGGTTCTTGTATGTGCCCCGACCAGAGATTAAGCCCACAACCTGAGCATGTGCCCTGACCGGAAATTGAACCAGGACCTCCCGATTCATAGGTTAATGCTCAACCACTGAGCCACACCGGCCGGGCTGGAAAACTGTTTGGCATGACTTTCTAAAGCAGGACACTTACCCAGACTCAGACCCTGAGGCGTGCCCCTCTCAGGGCACAGGGACTCGAGCAGGAACGGTCACTGCAGCTTTGCCCACAGCCCCCAGCCTGGGCACAGCCCGGGCACCACAGCCCGTCGGATGGGAAGAGCCAGTGCAGGCCCCGAGCCTGCCTCTGTGGCCAGAGTCTTGGCAGGTCGTTGGCTGACAGCGGAGAGAGTGGGCACAAACCCCAGTGATCACACAAGGAACATATGTTTTGCAAAAACAGTTTGAAAAAGTCACAAGTGCACAGCTTCGGCCCTCAAGAAGCAAAGTCTAGCAGTCCTGGAGGGAGAATTCCATTTCCGGTTACCACAGCAGACTGCTCAGAACGTCCCGCCGCAATAAGACGCGGCAGAGGAAGAGACCGTCACAGGAACGAGAAGTACAGTAACAATCGAAGATGCTCCATCGCCAGCCACAGCAGCCCACTGCTTCCTCATGTATCGGCAGTGAGCGACTGAAATTAAAACACTGTCCTTTATTCGACACAAGAAGAAGGAGGAGAAGAAATATTTCAGTATAAATCTAACAAAATATGTACAAGCTCCATGTGAGGAAAGCATTAAAACCGATGAAAGTAGTTTTGAAAGTTCTACATAGATGGAGATCTATCCCAGGTACATGGGCAGGTAGACACAATGCTGTCGAGATGTCAGTTTTGCCGGGCTGCTGTGGGTTGGTTGTGGTCCCGGATTCGATTCCCAGTCGGGGCACAGGCCCTGGTTGCGGGCTCGATCTCCAGTAGGGGGCGTGCAGGAGGCAGTCCATCAATGCTTCTCTCTCATCATTGATGTTTCTCTTTCTCTCTCCCTCTCCTTTCCTCTCTGAAATCAATATATTTTTAAAAAAAGTTTCCCAAAGTACAAAAGTCTACTCCCAGACACAGGAAGAAAATACTTTTTTATTCTCAACATAGAAATCTTGCCCGTCCTCTGCTCACCACCCCTCGTTCCCCCACAGGCTGCTGGGCCCGGCCATGCCCGCAGGACGCAGGCAGGCAGCGGCGTGGGCCGGCGAAGCTGCCTGCGCGGCCTCCAGCACTTGGCCCGTACAGTCAGCAGTGGGCTGGTCTGGAGGCTCAGAAGCAGCCCAGCAGTTGGGCATGGCCATACCTGGGGGCCCGCAACACGGAGCAAGCCCCTGGCCGGAGCGGTGAGCTGACCGCAGCTGCCCCGGCCCCGAGGCCCAGGACGGGGAGGGGCCGGCTGCGAGCTGGGAAAGCACAGCCCCAGCTTCTTGTGGCCACTGCCCTGCGGCTGGTTGGGAGAGGACCATGTCCCCGCCCCGCGGAGCCCGTCCTCAGCTGCAACCGGTGTTGTTGGCCCACCACAGGAGGGCCTGGGAGGGAGGGAGCGCCGCCCGGGCCCCCGCCTTCCGCTTGGCCTTGGCCTTGGCCTTGGGCTTCACCGGCAGGGGCCGGATCAGAGTCGTGTCGGTCTGAAGGAGACGTCAAGGCCAAGGCTGAAGGAGGGACTAGAATACAGGCAGGAGAGGTGAGACCTAGGGTGGCCCCCGTTACACTGGGCGAGGGCTGGCCCTGCACACCAGGCAGCAGCCCCCAGCAGCTGGCATTGGGGGGCCCGTGATGGGGGGTGTGGGCTCTGAGCGAGGGCTGGCCCTGCACACCAGGCAGCAGCCCCCGGCAGCCGGGATTGGGGGGCCCGTGATGGGGGGTGTGGGCTCTGAGCGAGGGCTGGCCCTGCACACCAGGCAGCAGCCCCCGGCGGCCGGGATTGGGGGGCCCGTGATGGGGGGTGTGGGCTCTGAGCGAGGGCTGGCCCTGCACACCAGGCAGCAGCCCCCAGCAGCCGGGATTGGGGGGCCCGTGATGGGGGGTGTGGGCTCTGAGCGAGGGCTGGCCCTGCACACCAGGCAGCAGCCCCCGGCAGCCGGGATTGGGGGGCCCGTGATGGGGGGTGTGGGCTCTGAGCGAGGGCTGGCCCTGCACACCAGGCAGCAGCCCCCGGCAGCCGGGATTGGGGGGCCCGTGATGGGGGGTGTGGGCTCTGAGCGAGGGCTGGCCCTGCACACCAGGCAGCAGCCCCCGGCAGCCGGGATTGGGGGGCCCGTGATGGCGGGTGTGGGCTCTGAGCTCGGCTCAGCCACGGAACAAGGATACAGGCTGGATGAACTTGGTCCGGCCCCCGAGGCCGTCGAAGCCGGTTCTGACCTGCAGGAAAGGGAGAGCTGAGTGGAGGCCGCGGCCGCAGGCTGGCCCGCCCCGGGGGGGGCACTCACTGTGTCCGCGCTGCGGTGGGGCTCCGGCCGGGCCCTCTTGGGCTGCCTGGGGCCCAGGACGGCGTTCCGGATGAAGAGTGGGAAGGCGCCGGCCAGCTCGTCGTCCGGCTCGCCCGCACAGCGCTGGCCGCCCAGCGAGAGCTGCGGCTCCTGCGGAGACCGGGCCGGGCCTGAGCTGGCGGCGGCGCGGGCCGGCGGGCGGGTGGAGGACTAGGACCCCCTGCCTCTCCGGGGAGCAGAGAGGACAATGGGCAGGTTTCCGGGGGCCCCGCAGGGCCCCAGGCCTGGGTGAGGACTGACACGGATCTGGCAAGACCTGCCCTCCCAGAGCCCGGCTTCGCGCGGTCCGGCCGGACTGAGGGGCTCAGCTGCGTGGGGGCGACAGCGTCCGAAGCCTTACCTGCGTGGAGCCTTTGGGCAGCTTCCCGGGCCCGTCCTGAGTGGGAGCGCTGTGAGACACGAAGGCGAGAGGCAGGTGAGTGGACACAGACACCTCAGTGATCCCTATGCCACGGCAGACCTGTGACCAGCTAGACAGTCACGGTGGCCAGTGGCGGAGGCAGGGAAGGTTGGACCACGTGCCAATCTGGTGGCTCCCACTCAGGGATAAGCTACCCCAACGCTCCCCAAGCCCCCAGGCGTCTCTCCGTGTCCAGGGCTCTGGGTGGGCAGGAGCGCCCAGCCGAGGCACACCCACAGGAGGCCCATCAATGCGCCAGGCCGCGCCCTGCCTGCCCGAGAGGGGCCGCCGCCGCCACGAGGCCCTCGATGAGCAGACGGCCCGCAGGGCAGGGCGGCCACCTCCCTGCACAGGCCAGGCCTCCCGTCCCAGCCCCGAGCAGGGCACAATGCTTCCATCCAATTCCTGGGCAGGCAGCTGCACGCCCGGCCTGGTCTCCCCCAGGCGAGGGGAGGACGGAGGCCTGTGGTGGAGAATAATCAAAAGCAGCCCTTGGCCTCCCTGCCTGGGCAGCAGACCGTCCACGCCTGACGGGAACAGCTGTTGTCTCCATGGTAAACTGCAGGTGGCCGGCGGGCCAGGGACAGCCTCCGCTGCCAGTGCCACTGCTTCCCTGGTGCAGGTCCCCCACACTGCCGCTACAGCTGCCCCCGAGGTAGGGGTGGGGCCGGGCCCCATGGTGTGAGATGGCCCTGCCTCGGGGGCCCGAAGGAAGAGGAGGTGCAGAGCTCCTGCTCAGGACCCCGGGGTGGCATTCCACACAGTGGGAGTGCCCCCACCATCAGCCCATCCGGTCCCCACGGGACCTCTGGATCCTCTCTCCCCGCCCCCGTCCCCTTGCTTAAAGGGCGATGACCTGGACAGGCAAGACGAAGGCTGTGCGGTCAGTGCTGGCACCAACGCCAGTCCAGCCCGGGGGACGGCACTGCCCGCAGCCCCTCGGAGCTGCCAGGCCGGCCCGCAGGGACCTTCACCCCTCTCCCGGCGTGGGCACTCACTGTGCCTTCTCCGGGCAGAGCTTCTTGGCGGGGCCGCGCTGAAGGCCAGGGGGCCGGGCCGGGGGGGTGTCCACGTCAAAGGTGGCGTTGAGGTCAATGTCGTCGCTGAAGGCTGGCCGGCGGAGCTTCAGGCTCAGCATCTCCACGGGGGCCGGGCTACGGGCACAGACAGAGGGACCAGCTCACCGCGGCGCCCAGGACAGCGGCCCGGAGGGCTCCGGAGACAGTTCCGCTCCAGGGGCTGCAGCCGCCCCGCTCAGCGCCCCCTGCAGGCCAGCCTCGTCGCCACAGGAAACCCCCTTGGCTCAGCCCTCCAGGCACGGCCCAGCCACAGGCTGGCGATGGGAGGAAGCAAGCGAAAGCCACGCAGCCCATACGCACAGGGCTGCTGCTGTTTGGCCACATGGCCTCGGTTCTCAGAGCGCAGCGCAGGAGCAGAGACACGGCCAGACCGCCGCCCTCTGCACTGCCGAGGAGGACGGCACCTCAGAGACCGAGAGGATGGCTCCCTCGGAGCTGGCTCGCTCCAAGCTTGCACATGACAGACACTGAAAGAAGGCTTCCGGACAGTAAGTTACTAACACGGGCTATGCACATGTGTTCCATTTATAAAGCAGCACAAGCCGAAACTGGTGTGGCTCAGTGGATAGAGCGTCGGTCTGCAGACTGAAAGGTCCTGGGTTCGATTCAGATCAAGGGCATGTACCTTGGTTGTAGGCATATCCCCAGTAGGAGGTGTGCAGGAGGCAGCTGATCGATGTTTCTCTCTCATCGATGTTTCTAGCTCTCTATCCCTCTCTCTTCCTCTCTGTGAAAATCAATAAAATATATATTTAAAAAAAAAAAAGGCAGCACAAAACCAGACAAACCAGACTTCACGCAAATTTAAAAAATTGTGCATCAAAATGTATGATCATAGTCAAAGGGCGATGCAGGGAACGAGAGGAAATATTAGCAGATCGTATCTCTGGTGAGGGATTAAAATCTGTAGAGAGCTAGGACTCAACCTGATTGAGAGAAAACAAACATGATTCAAAACGGGCGAAGGTCTGACAGATGTTTCTCCTGAGAAGATTGACAAACGGCCAATAAGCCCCCGAAAAGACGCTCACCGCCACTCTTCATCAGGGAAGACAATCAGAACCACCACGAGATGCCACCGCCACCATCAGGACGCTACTGCCCAACCAAAACCACCGAGCCAGCGGAACAGAGGAGCAGGCGCGGCGGGAGGTGATGGCCGGTGCTCGGCTGGGGGCGGGCAAATGGCAGCACCGCTAGGGAAAGGCGGCTCCAGACATTAAAACTGGAATCCCACCGCCAGCGCCCCACGCGGGAAGCGACCGGAGAGCTCCCCTTCCTTGCCTGCCAGTGCAATCGAGGTTGGGCGAACCCACCTAAGCCAACTCCTCTCTGGGAACCGCTGTGCGAGGCACAGCCAGAGCCACTCGTGCCCTGTTCACAGCGTCTGCTGGCCTGCCGCTCCCCGCCGGCGAGTCCAGGCAGCAGAGGGGCACCACGAGGCAGAGGCAGGCGGGTCCGGCTGGGCGGCCTTTTCTCTCCACGGTCTCCGGCAGGGCTTCCTGCTGCCGTGCCGACCCTGCTCGCGGTGCCAGGACGCGTGCCCAGCTTTGGCTCAGTTAGGACAGTCTTCCCGTGCACCTCCTGGCCCGCAGAGGGAACCAAGCTGCAGAGATGCCCGGTGCCCGGCTCACTCCCCACACTGCCCCTGGCCCAGCTGGACAGCCTCGTGCCCTTACACCGTCCCCAGCAAACCCCTCTCTTAGAAGCTCCAACTGCCCTCTATGCCGAGGCCTCTCCTTCCTTCCCACTCCCGTGCTGGCGGGGGCACTGCCGAGCCATCCGGGGACGCCATCGCCTGGGGACACGTAGCCAGGCCTGTGTGCAGACGGGGCCTCGGCCGGGGGCCTCAGGAGGTGGAGCAAAGCCCAACTTCCAGAACGGAGCCAAGGCCCTGGGCAGCCCACGCCTGTGCAGGGGGACGGTCAGTGTCTCCCCGTGAGCTCAGGGTGCCCTGGGCCTTCCCTAAGCGAAGGCTTCCCAACTCTTCAGCCTGGACGCCCCTGAGGTCTCCCAATCACCCCTCTGTAGGGGGGTGACAGTTACCTCCGCAGCCACCCTGACATGACAGGAGTGAAGGACAGCCCTACTGCAGCAGCTGAACGGGCAGCCGCCGCAGGACCCAGAGCCCCACATTCTGGCCGCGCACGGCCAGGGACAGCGGAGGAGGGAGAGCTTGCCGCTGCTGGGAGACCGGGTGTGTGTGTGTGTGTGTGTGTGTGTGTGTCTGCAGGGCCGCTGAGCCAAGGGGGGAAGAGCCACGCACAGAGGCCCAGAGGCAGGAGGGCAAGGAACGGTCCTCAGGGGCACGACGGGGCTGCAGCCTGAGGGCGCCCCGGAGGGCTGCAGCCCCGTGCCAGTGCTGAGGCCCTGCGTGCTCGGTGAGGAAGGAGAGGCACGGTGCCCAGGGGCTGCCGCTGCTGGGCTGACAGGAGGACGGAGAGGGCAGCCCCAAGCCACACGGGAGAGGGTGGCTGGGAAGGGGCAGGCGGCTCCAGCACCCGCTGGACGCGGGGAGAGGGAGCGTGAGGATCTCCCCAGGACACGCGTGGCTCAGGGAAAAGACGGGCCACTAGCTTGTGGGGAGACAGCCGAGGGTGCCCGCCCCAGCGGCTTTGTGGCACGCAGGAGGAACAGGGACACCCATCCTTGGCCTCTTGGCTCCCTCTGCTGGCAGCGTCCATGCACACACTCCGGGGCCCAGAGGGATCCTTTTAGTGACTGCTCCCGTTCGCTCCAGACTTGGGAGGGGGCGGGCTGACGGAGCATTTGGTGAGCCATCCCACAAACAGGCTGCCCCCTGCCCTGCCTGCCATCCGAGGGCCCGCTGGGCTGCCCGGACCCTGCTTGTCTGAGCCCAGAACCTGCCTCAGCTGGCTGGCAGCGAGACCGTGGCTGCCTCCCAGGCATCAGGCACAGCCTCACACCCACCGGAGAGCCGCCCGCCAGAGCCTGGCCGGGCCTGGCCGGGGCGCTCTCCCAGCGCGGCCCGCACCCCGAGGACACGCACCTCTCCAGCACCAGCCGGTTCACGGTCTCGCTGTCCCCCGGCGGCAGGCTCAGGGTCTCCTGCAGCATCTTCAGCTTCTTTCTCAGGCTCTTGGGAAGGAAGAGAACGTGTGAATGAAAGGCTGGGGCGTCAAGCCCAGACAGACGCCAAGGACAGAGTGACAGCGGATGGCAGGCCCGGGGGCAGGCGGGGCCTGAGCCCCGTCCCCAGGCCCAGAGGCCAGGACCCTTGCCCAGATGCCGCCCTGCTAAGCTCCGTCTCTGGCGACCTTGGGCTGCAGGTGAAGAGACTGTGGGGGAAGACCCGGCGCCATCCGCCAGGCTCCAGACCGGGGTCCAGGCGCCCACCCTGAGCCACCCGGTGCAGGAGGTGAGCGAGCCCACACCCAGCTCCACCGCCAGGGCGCCCCTCACCGCGATCTCCTTGTCGGCGCCCTGCAGATCTTTCTGGGCCGACCTCAGCTCCAGCTTGGCCTGGTCCAGCTCAGCGTAGACCGCCTGCAACTGCCGGCAAGCGGAGGGGGGTGAGCCAAGGCGGCCACGTGCCCTGCCCCACCCGCGGCGGCCCAGGCTGCTCAGGGCAGACCGGGGCCCGGGTGTGGGGGCCCCAGGGAGACCCTAGCTCCATGGGCGGGGCTGTGGTCCAGCGAGGCCCTTCAGGCTGCCCTGCGCCCCGCGGCCGGGGATGCGCCAGGCCCGAGAGCCAAGTGGCCGTGCTGAGCCCACCGGGTTCCCCGCGCATGTGCTCCGGGCCTGGCGTGGACCTCTGAGGGCGGCACATTTGGGACCTGCCCTCCTGCCAGCTGAGGGCAGCAGCCGGGGCAGCAGGGGGCATAAGGCTGCACGCCAGCAGAGCACCTGCGTGCCCCGCCACCCTAACTGGACAAGGCACACAGCCTGAGCCCATCCTGTGAGGACCAGCGACTGTCTCCGAGTCAGGCCACAGCCCTGGGTCAGCGGCCCCACAGGCCCCGGGCCTTGCTCAGGGGCCGGGCCTGAGCTGGAAGTAAGACGGCCCCTCTCCAGCCCCCTTTGCCCCCACAAGACACTCTCCCGCCCCCTGCTCCCGCAGGTACCTTGCTTCTGGAGGAAAACAGGTCCTTCTTGAGCTTGTCGGCCAGCTCCCCGGAGGCCTTCCGGGCCTCCTTCAGATTCTCATACTCCCTGCGTGGGGCCAGGAGAGGGACGTCGGAAAGGGCACCTGCTGGTCGGACTGAGCACCAAGCAAACACCGAGCCCAGCCCAACCCGCACGCCCACTCTGACACCGAGCTCGGGGGTGGCGCTGGGGGGTCCTCCCCGCCAATGCCAGGACAGCGGCCGCCCGCTCCCTCCGGCCCTCACTCAGGGTGCTCTGGGTGCCTCCTTGGAATAACGCCTCTGACCACTCCCTTCCCTCCACGGCCCAGGCCGGCATCCCTGTCTCCATCAGTGAGCCGAGGGTCAGAGGCTAAGAAACTGGCTCTGGCCACACGGTGAGGGGGGCTCAGAGCGGGCGGAGGCAGCAGGCACCCTGAGCTGGGCCCTAACTCCCTGCTCTGCCGGTAAGGGAGGGCAGCAGAGGGCGGGCGAGGCTGGGCGCATGGGACGGAGGACGGAGCACACACTTCTTGAGCGACACGCAGTACACGGCCAGCTGCTCCACCGCTGCCTGGCCCGCGCCCATGTCGCGGATCATCTCCTCCACCTCAGGCCGCTGGCTCTTGAGTAGGAGCTCAATCCTGAAAAACAGCGGCCCACGGCGCTGAGCATTTGGAGACAGCTCTGCCTCCCTTTGCTGCTGTTGCTATGGTGACGGCCGGGTCTGCCCAGAGAAAGGCCCACGGCAGAGCAGAGCACAGCCTCGGGGTGCTGCCGGGGAGGAAGGGGTGCTGCCGGGGAGGAAGGGGTGCTGCCAGAGGCGCTCCAGGCCAGGGATCCCCGAGAGGCTCTGAGAGCACAAGCATAAGGCTGCCAGCCACGTGGCCACAGGCAACAGGACAGGGAAGAACGTGGAAGGGCCCCCAGGGGAAATGGAGGAGCCAGAGGCTGAGCAGAGACCTGTGCCCCACCCGGCTGCCCCCCTCCCCCACCCCGCCCCCCAGCCTCTGGTTAGAGCCACAGCGGTGACCCGACCCCCGCCGTCCTGGGAGCGGTGCGGCCGGGGCTGGGGCAGGGGCAGGGGCAGGGGCAGGGCAGCGCACCGCTCCATGGTCTGCATCTTGCTCCGCAGCCGGCGGGCCTCCTCCCGGGCCTGCTTGGTCTCGTCCTGCTGCTGCTCCAAGAACTTCATCTGCTTCTGAGGAGCAAACACACCACCGTTCCTGTTGCCTGGAGCATCCGGGACCACGGCTATAGGCACGGGGGAAGCGCTACCCAGCCCTGCCGGCTTTTGAAAAGGCTGAGATGTGCCCCTGCGCCCCTGGCCGGAGGGAAGGCTGCTGGGCGCACTGCAGCTTGTGCTTTTCTGCTGAGAGGCCCTCACCAGCAGCTCCTCACCTCCCTGCGCTTCCCGGAGCTGTGTCTCCCAGAGGTGCAGCCTGGCAGCACCCACAGGCCCCTCGCGGGCTGCCTAACGCCTGTGCTGGGCGCTGTGGTGCGTACTGTACAGTCCGGGCCTCGCTGTCCAACATCTAGTCCCAAGGACGGCGGCCAGGATAGCAGCCCTGAGCCAGGGGCCGCCGGCCAGCTGCCCTCAGCCCGAGACCCTCCGCCTCTGGGGACCCTGCTCTGCTGCCTCCCCTCCCTGGCCAGGCCACGTGACCCAGACCAGCCACCGCAGGAGCAGAGTCAGTGACTGCGGGGCTCCGTCTGTTCACGGGCCGCCTCCTCCCCCTCCAGGGGCACCCCGCAAGGACTGCTCCTCCTGCGAGGCCAGCACGTCCACGCGGGCTCAGATCAATCGCCTCCGGCCCCGGGAGAGCAAGAGCTCAACCGGCTGATACAGAATTCATGGGCCGGGCGCGGGCGGGCAGCCTGATCCGCCCGCAGGCGCACGCCGCTTCCAAGGCCGGCCTCGCGGGAGCCGTTTGATCGGCTCCGAGCCGCGCCGAGGCCTGAGTGCGCGCGGGCTTCCCGGGCGGAGTACACCCGTTCCCGGAACACGCCCCGCCTCCCGGGTCCTGGCTAAGCAGCCCCCGACGTGCGGGAAGGCCTCAGCTCCTCACACCGCAAGGACAACCTCAGAAGGGAGGCCAGCGCGGCCCTCTGCGGGCCGGGTCAGTACGCCTCCATCCTACACCTCACACCGCGCTGCTGACCAAGGCGGAGCCAAAGCGAAGCCTGGAGCGGCGAGCCCGGCTGGGGCTCCACCCCCTCCCCTCCCCGGCACCCCGGACCCGGCGCCCCGGCCCGGCCCACCTTGAGGGTGGCGCACAGCATGTCGGCCTCGTCCAGGGCCCGCTGCAGAGACTCCACGGCGGCGTTGCGCTCCTCCAGCGTGTCCCGCAGGGTGTCGATGATGCCCTGGCTGTCCCGCTTCTCCCGCTCTGGGGCAGGGCAGGAGGACGGGGTTGGGGGGAGAGAGAGGCCTGTCAGCTGAGAGCCTGGGCTTCTGGGCGCCAGCACCCCACCCAGAGGCAGGTGGGGAACAGTCCCAGGCCAGAGGCCGGGCTTCACGGCCCCCACGCCGTGTCCAGTCAGTTCATCGTCCCAGATGCCACCAGGTTCCTGCCAAGCTCTGGCCGAAGCCTCTCCCTCAGCTACTCTGTCCCTCGGGGGCCCTCCCAGCTGAGCACCAGGTCCCGGGGCAGAGTCAGGCCCCTTCCTCTCCTCCCCTTTCCGCCAGTCACAGAGCTGGCCAGACTCACGGACACACAGCGGGGAGAGCCCTGGCCTCCCCCACCAGCACCCGCGTCAGGGCTCCCCACGGCCGCAACGCCAGCGGACTCACCTTTCTGGGAAAGCTGGGCTCTGACGTTATCCAGCTCATTCTGCAAGGCAACGGGCACCGTGAGCAGCAGCCGCCTCACAGGGGCCGTGGGAGCCCAGGGTGGGGGGTGGGGGCGGGGAGGGAGGGATCGTGGAGCCTGTCGGCCTAGAGCAGTGGTCGGCAAACCGTGGCTCGTAAGCTGCATGTGGCTCGCAAGCCACAGTTTGCTGCTCTGTTGACTAATGAGTTTGCCGACCACTATCATATACTACCTTTACCTCTTTGCACATAATATGCCACAACTGCCTAATCCTCACAGCTTCCAACTACACGGTAGCATTTCGTCTAGTCCAGTGGTCGGCAAACTCATTAGTCAACAGAGAGGCAAACCGAGGCTCACAAGCCGCGATTTGCCAACAACGGGCCCAGAGAGGCACAGGCCCAGCAACCATGGCAGGAAGCCTTGCTCTGTCTCTGGCCTTCCTAAGCAGCAGCTAAAGGGGGAAGTGATATCAGGTACAAGACCCAGCACAGGGAAGAGGAGAGGGGAGGGAGGGAAGCAGCCTGGGGGGCAGCCCTGCAGCAGAGGCTCCACTGCGTCCTTGGCCTGCTGGCCCTGGCCCGCTCCGGACGTCACTGCACTCAGCGGGACACCAGTGGGCGTGGCCAAGGACCTGGGCTACCTCTCCTCCCTCTGCCCTGGGTCCTGCCTGCTTCACAGTCCACCTCTCTCCCACAATCGCCAGCCCCAGGACTAATATGGCTGGTGAGCCAGGACAGCTGTGAGCCCCTGGCCGAAACCCCACACGTGCGAGGTTCTGAGACTGTCTGAGCCTCTGGGAGCTGTGCCTACATTCCAGAGCCCCTGCTGCAGGTCCGCTGAGAGGCGGGCAGCGCTGCCCCAGCCCCCATTCGGGGGACCAGAGCACTCAGCACCTGTGGGCAAGGAAGGTGCCTCCTCCATCAGCAGGAAAACCACGGAGGCAGCTGGGTGGGTGGAATCCAGGCAAATCCTCCAGATCAACACAAGACTCAGAACCTCACACGTGACCAATTCTAAGGCCCAGCCCCAGAGGCCGATAAGCCCCAGGTGGGCTGCCGGGCTGGCCCTGTGGGCTGAGCGCCTGGAGGGGAAGCAGTGGGCTGGGAGGAGGGGCCTGGGTGGCTGAGAAGAAAAGCCACCTCCAGGCCCTGGCCCCGCCGCACCCACGCAGGACGCCTCCCAGCCCTGTTCGCAGCGCGCGATGCTGCCTCCCCGTCTCCCAGGTCTGGCTCTGAAAGCTGGAAAGACACGAAGCGGCCTTTGTTCCTGCATCGCGAGGAGAGCACAGCTGAGAGCTGGGAGCAGTTACCATGACGATGAACATGCTGGCTTTCAGCACAAAAGCTCCCCGTTCTTGAATCAGTGAGTTCCAAGGACATCATGGTACCCTGGAGCCAAGGCCAAACGAGCCCCGATCTGACAGATGCCCAGAAAGTTAACCCCCGGAGTCCAAGCTCATCGCCAACGCTAATCCCACCTCCTCACGAGGCTTCTCGTGCAGGAAGCTGAATCTCAGGCCCGGGCAAAGCGGTGGGTGTGAGGGAGGGTACCCCCCACCGCTCCCACAGTGTGTGGGTGCAAATCTGGGTTCCAGGCGCGGCTCTCTGTTCCCGCCGGTGTGAGACACAGCCAGGTTCACGAACACAGGGCCCACACATCTGCCTGGCTGTGGGCTGGAAGTCTCCTCTTCTGCCCCCACTGTCCGGGCAGCAAAGTGGGCTGGGAGGGTGGCTGTAGATCCTTTAAGGTGAGGGGATCTTGGGAGGGACCCTCTGACCCTGGGTCGGAAATGCTCTGAAACCCCAAAGGGGGGGCTCTACAGTGTGTTTCTCCTACGCCTCAGCTCCGCCTGTCCTCTCTCCCCTCCTAGCTCCCCCACGCACTCGCCCTGAGCGGGGGAGGAGCAGAAAGAACCGGCAGAGAACATGGGGCTCAGCAGGATGAGAGAGATTCCGGGTACCTTTAAGAATTCTGCATCTAAGGCACCCTCCTCCTCCTGGGCAAGGTCAAAGAAGAGCTTGTTGATGATGGACCTTCGGCCAACCTGCATGGGAAGACAAGGAGGAACGTGACTGCACAGCTGGGTCCCGGGCCAGGCCTGCGCTCGGGCCCAACATTTCCCCCGCATCCCGTGGAGGCAGAGGATCTCTGCAACCTGCAGTGCCCTGAGCTGGTGCCCCGAGCCTGGTGGCTCCTGAGGTCATGCCTCTGGGACCCATATTGTAACCACTCAAATGACACCCCAACTAGGTACTGGGCATTGGGAAAATCGGGAGAGGCAGAGAAGGGCCCGAATCTATCCAGGTGAGGCTGATCCAGGCAGTGAGTGCACCTGGCAGCTACCCGTGGGTATGAGCAGGCCTCGAGCCACAAACCACGAGGCTCCAAAAGGGCCAGCGATACCAGCCTCAGAGACCGCCCCTCGTTCCTGCTTCCTGGCGAGAAGAAGCTGTAGTGGAGGGATCCCCTCCCCGCTCACCTGGATTCGGCACTGCGGGCAGGTCCGACTTGGTGCTGTGTCGAACCACTGGATCAGGCTGGAACGAGAAGCAGAAACACAGGATGATGAGCCATGGATGGCCGCAGACACCCAGGCCGGGCAGCACGGGAGAGAACTGCCCTGGCCAGGTGGCTCAGATGGTGGCAGCAGAGGCCGCGGGTTCAATTCCCAGGCAGGGTGTGCGTGGGAGGCAACTGATCAATATTTCTCTCTCGCATCAATGTCCCTCCTTCCTTCTCTCCCCCTCCTTCCCTCCCTCCCTCTTCTCTCTATAGAGGCTATACATGCAGAGACAATCGCTTTAATTTCCCAAAGCTAATTAAAGAAATCATTCCACAAATGGAAGAAATGTAATGAACCCCAACCAGGATAAGTAAAAAATTATAACAATAAGAGAGCTGAGGTGTCTACCTAATTGTCAGACAAAATAGACTTTAAGTTAAAAAAAAAAAAAAAAGATTACAAGAGACAAAGAAGGACTTCATATATCGATATATTGGTAACAGGTTCAATCCAAGAAGAAATAACAATTATAAACACCTGTGCACCTAAACACAGAGCCCAAAGTTATGTGAAAGAAATGTGGACAGAATTGAAGGGAGAAATCGTTCTAGAACAAAAGTTGAAGATGTCAGTACCCCTCACTTTCAATCATAGACAGACCAATCGGACAGATAATCAATGAAGCAAGGGAGAACTTGAACAAAATGAACTAACCAGGTCTAACAGGCATATACTCCACCGGGTAACAGCTGAATACACGTTTTTCTCAAGTGCGCACGCAACTCTCCAGGACTGGCCATATGTTGGGCCACAAAACAAGTCTTAATAAGTTTTAAAATATCTAAATCACAGGAAGCATTTTCGTTTACCAACATTTACAGTAGCACAGCTCATAGCAGCCAAAACACAGAGGCAAAACAAGGCCCATTAACAGATGAAGAAGGATGAACAAAATGTGGTATTTCCATACAACTGAGTATTACCCTATCCTATATAATAAAAGGCCAGGGACCATAAGTGTAACGACCGGAATGCCCACTCATGCATCTCAGTGACCATGAGACACTGACCACCTCTCGTGTGTGTGTGTGTGTGTGTGTGTGTGTGTGTGTCCCCCGCCCCATGGCTAGCGGCGGTGAGCAGGGTCCGAGAGCAGCAGTGATTTTGTGTGCTGGGCCTCAGCTCAGTCACAAAAATGAAATCCTGATACATGCTATAATACGGATGAACCTTGAAAATATGATGCTCAGTGAGATAATCCAGACTCAGAAGAACCAATATTGTACAATTCTACTTCAATGAGGGCCTAGACTAGGGAACTCCAGGAGACAGGGGTAAAATGGAGCCTTCCAGGAGACATTGGGGAGGGGGGGATGGAGTTATTGTTCAATGGGTAGTGGATTGTTGTTGTTTTTTTGTCTGGAGTGATGGGAAAGTTCTAGAAACAGGCAGTGGTGATGGTTACACAGAATTACTAAAGTACTTCATGCCGCTGACTCGTACACTTAAAAGTGGTTAAAACGAATGGCATCTTTCAGCTCACTGAGTGAATGCCATGGGCAAAGCTCCCCCTTCCAGGTTAGAAAAAGAATGAACAAAAGGCCCTGCAATTAGATGGCGCAGACACGTCCAAGGGACGCTGCCGGAATCTATCCCTTTAGGAATCTGGCGGCCGATCGTGTGTGGATAGCCAACGGCCACTGGCGGGCGACAGAACAAGATTAAAACGGAGGCAAAAGGAGCCGTGGGAAGAGTAGAGACCATGGCTTCCACACGTCCCCTCTCCAGAGGGTCTATGTTAAAGCTGGGTCATGTTTTTCCCCATATTGAATTTGTTGATGTTGTTAAATAAATTTTGCAACAGTACAAAAATGGCTAAATGGTATAAACTTGTATGTTATATACTCTTATTACAATAAAAAAGGTATGCAGTAATTAAAACAGGGGCGGGGGGAGCAAGAAGTGGTTCCAATGGTGAGTTCTCTGTATATTTCACCCCAATAATTAAAGGAGCCGGGCCCTGCCCCAGCCTGCCCACAGCCGCGGGCTCTCCCCACTGCTGTCCTCCCTGACCGGTCCTGCAGGCCGGGCAGCATCGCCCGCTCCCTCAGGCCGCACCACTTCGCCCTGGGATGTTGACTGGGTTTGGGGTTTTGCTGGCGTCGGGAATACATTGAGGGGTATGACCCGAGAGCGGTCTCTGGACAAACATCCCAAACCGTCCAGCAAACCACAAGCCGGGCAGCCAGCGGCCTACCGGGCTTCCATCGCCAAAAACCCGAAGGGCTCGTCAGTTTGGGGAGAGCTCATCTCGGCCCAGGTCGGGGACCTCCCGTGGGGCGCCGCGAGTGTCCCCCACATCCCCCGTCCGGGCTGCGGGGGGCCCGACACCCCACACTCCCTCCCGTTCAGCCCCCAACAGCTGCCACTCACCACTGCAGGTGGAAGGTGTGGCCGCAGTGGATGGCGGCCACGTCGCGCGAGTGGTCGAAGAAGTCGGAGCAGATGGTGCAGAGCGCACGGATGGGCATGGTCGCCGGAGACCCCGGCCCCGCGCCTCAGCTCCCTTCAAATTTGGCTCCACGGCGCGACTTCCGGGGTAGGGCCGGAAGTGGCTACGCGAAACGTGGAGGCGGAGCCTAAAGGCTGATCCCGGATTGGACGATCCCTCGGGGGGCGGGGTTTAAAGGCCCCGCGGACAAATAGGATCCTGGGGCGGAGCGCGGGCCGGGACCTGCCCGCGGGCGCGGGCGCGGGGGCGGGGCGGCGGCTCCGGGAAGGTGCTGGTCCCTCGGAGCGCAGCGCGGACCCGGAGCGGGGGCGGGAGCAGCCACTCAGCGCCGATGCGCGGTGCGCCGGGCTCGGGCTCCTCGGCCCGGCCTGTCAGGGCCGCCCCCTCTGGACAGCGGGGGAGGCGGGCCCGCGGCCGCAGGGCCGTGGGACCGGGTCCCCGCGGAGAGCGGGCCGCCGCGCTCCGGCAGGGTTGGCCCGCGCGCGGGAAGTTCCCACTGACCCAAAGGATGCCCGCCCTCCCAGCCCGCGGCTGTGGAGTCGTCCCAGGAAGGTGGACACGGGTCCCAACCCCGCTGGCCCCCAGGTCTGCGGGCGGCAGGGCTGGTTCCCTGACTCCTGCTCTGAGCCAGGGAGGAGCCGTTGAGCCCCTGAACTGTATGCAGCGTAGGGGTTTTGGAGGCCCGGAGGCCCGTAGCCAGTGGCTCACAAACCCTAGTTTCTTATCCCCACATCGCATCAGTAATCTTAGGGTCTTCCCCGAGGGGCAGCGGCTTCCCGGGTGAGTCCCCGGGCCCAGGGCATGGAACCAGTCTTCCTAGGAGTTACCACTCAGCTGCTTTTAGCAGCATTACCCCCCCCCAACACACACACACCCCCCACACACACAGGAAACCTGCTGCCGAGCCTCCTGATGCCCCACTGGCTTGTTCCGGCTGAAGGAGACTCACAGGCCCAAGTGCTGCTCCCAGGAAGGGCCTACACTCAGGGCAGCTAGAACCTTCCTGTGCTGCCCGCCCTGGACCTCTCCCCAACAGGGAAGCCCACCTTGGCTACAGGCAAGGGCTCTGTCCGTGGCGGCTGGGTTTTGGTGGGTTCCAGTTCTGTGCCTAAGTTAAACCAAGGGCTCCTCGTGTTTCTTTGTTTTTGTTTGTTTGTTTCCCCCTTGATTTTTAGGGAGAGTGGAAAAGAGAGGGAAAACAGTGAGAAACATCGGTGTGGGAGAAACACATAGATTGGTGACCTCCTGCATGCCCCTGACCAGGATCCAGGCTGGGGAGGAGCCCTTGACCGGAATCAAACCTGGGCCCCTTCAGTCCGCAGGCTGACGCTCATGCACTGAGCCACACCAGCTGGGGCTCACCGGGGGCTCCTTGTTACATAGGACTTGTCATGACAGCAGCCCAAGGTCCAACACAGGACCGCCACCCGTGTGGGTTTCAGCCCAGAGGAACCCGTCGCCACCATCAAGGGGCACCCGGTGAGGATGATTGTGCTCTTGGCCAAGCCAGCCCCGGGCCCTCAGCACAGACTGCTACTGGGCACCTGCTTCCACCTCCGCCCCCCACTGCCCGCCGGGCCCCTCCCCCGGAAGACAGGAAGCAGCAGCGAGAGGTGCCAGAGGCTTTGGCAGGTTGGCGTTTATTTGCCAGGTTCAGCAGGCACAGCGAGCCCGCCGATCCTCACACACCAGAGCAGACCCACAGGCATGCAGGGGGAAGGGCAGGCCCGCCGCCGAGTGCCGAGCGGGGCTGGGACCAGGCGGCTGCCTGCCCAGGCCGCGGTGGGGTCTGACAAAGGGCACCTCCCAGGAGCCTCCATCAGGAAACTGGGGAGCCTTCTTCCACCCCCTCATCCCAGCGGAGGGGCTCAGAGGCACCCGGGCCTCTCCCAGGCCCCATCGGAGGGGGAGGGGGTCGGACATAATGGGGACTCCCCTCTTTTCCGTTGGGGAAGTGGGAGAGAGAGAAAATCTGCTCGTCAAGGGCAGACCCTCCCGAATCAGAGTGTGGGACACACGTGCAGGTCCCCTGGGACGGAGAGGGCTGCCCGCTGATCCCGAGGGAGGCCGCCTGGGAAGAGGCAGGGACACCAGCCCTTCCTGCCTGGCTGTGGTGAGGCCCCGCTGGGCTGGCGCACGCGTGCTGGGCCTGCACTGTCCTCCCGCTTCTCGTTGCCACCTCCTCCTCCTCCTCGCTCCTTCCCCACTCAGGCTCCCAGCCTTGGCACAGGCAGCCCGCTGCAGGCCCGGGAGGCAGGAAGGGTCTCAGGAGGGGCTTCCCAGGGACAAAGACGGAAGCTTCTACCCTCCTCACTCCTGTTCACCTCTGAGGACCCCCACGGCTCCCGAGCAGTGCCCCCCGCCACACGCCCAGCCTCGTCCCAGTGCACACTGCTCTGATCTCCGCACGCCCTTCCTGGCCTGGGCCCACAGGCAAGTGCCTCCGCGGGTGGAAGCCTAAGTCCGCTGACAGGGCCTCGCTGGAGGACCAGCTCTCAGGGCAAGGCCACCCGAGTTTAGGGCCTGGGAGGGGACGGGGCTGCAGGGCCTGCCTGGGGGGTCGTGAGGCAGACGGGAGAGGCGCAGGGACCTCCTGAGTATCCCCAGAGCAGCGTCCCACGGGAACAGAACGGGAAGCTAGTGAAAGACAAAAGCCACGGGAATCCATGCAGGGGCTGGGGCCGGTCCTGCCTCTGGCTTGCCCACCACTCACACGCACACACGCGGGAGACGAGCCTGCTCTCCCGCAGCCCCCAGACACGCCCCACAGTGAGAGGCAGGGGCGGGGAGGGGTGCAGGGCATCATGCCAGCGACTCTATGTACAGTGAGAAGCCCCTCATCCACGCTCCCACCCTCCTGCCCGCCCCGCCCCCCAGGAGCCTGCCACTCAGCTGGCATCCTCCCTCCGGGACTCCAGGGCGGAGCCCGCGGCCTCTCCCCCTGTACTGGCGGGCGGGGCCTGGCCCGCCGCGCCCCCGGAGGCTGTGCTGTCCGGCTGGGCCGAGGCCGGCTCGGGGGTGGCACTGCTCTGGCTGGTGGGCACAGTGCTCTCTTCCGTGGCTGGTGTGGCTCTCCCGTCCGTGGCTGGAGTGGCGCTCCTGTCGGTGGCCGGGGTGATGCTCCCGTCGGTGGCTGGGGTGGCGCTCCCGTCCGTGGCTGGGGTGGCGCTCCCGTCGGTGGCTGGGGTGGCACTCCCGTCGGTGGCTGGGGTGGCACTGCGGTCTGCAGGGACCGCACCATCACTCTTTGCAGCGTCACCTGCTGTGGCTGCGCTGGCACTGCCCCCCAGGGCTGGGGTAGCCCCACCTGCAGCCCCGGGCGCGGCAGTGTCTGTGGCTGGAGCAGACGGGGTGGCCGCGGCGCTGGACTGATCTGGCGCCCGCAGCCGCTTCATGAGCGTGGTCACTCGGACAGCTTTCTGCGAGGAGGGGAGAGGGGCTCAGGGAGGCTCACGGCAGCCAAGTCCCCTCCCTGGCGCAGGCCAAGCCCAGGCCACCCCCCAGGGTGCCCCTGGCTGCTTCGATCCCCCCAGGGTGCCCCTGGCTGCTTCGATCCCCCCAGGGTGCCCCTGGCTGCTCCGATCACCCCAGGGCGAGGCACCCGGCAGCTCAGCTCCGCGTGGGTGGAGCAGAGCCTGGGAGGGAGACTGCAAGGAGCTGCAGGCTCCAGGAGGAGCATGTGGCCTCAGTCCGCGGGAGCGCCCCCCGGCCTCACCTTCCACTTGGCCCTGGCAAAGTTCTTCTCGATCTGCGCACAGACTCCGTCCTTGATGTTCTTGTCGGAGGCGGCGTTGCCGGAAATCCTGGGAAGGGGGCAAAAGCGTCCCGAGGGCGGCCTGCACCGCCCAGCCTCGGAAGCCCCCGCGGCCGCCTGCGGTCTGGCCGCCCCCCCCCCCAGGCTCAGGGGTGGGCTGCGGGCGGGAGGAGGACCGGCCCGCCGCGCCCGTCTTCCTGGCCCGCTCACCACTCGTGGGAGATGGCCTCCTCGGCGGTGATGCGCTGGTCTTGCTCCACCTCCATCAGCCTCGTGACCAGGTCTTTGGCTGCGGACAGAGCCGGGAGAGGCGAGGGCTGGACTGGGGCCGAGTCCGGAGCGAAGGCTGAGGACGGGCCCTGCGCCACCCCCCGTGCTGCCCGGGTGCGGCGCCAGCTCACCCGCCTGCGAGATGTCGTCCCAGTACGGAGAGTCGAACTCGTAGTCGCCGGCCAGGATCTTGCGGAAGAGATTCTTGTCGTGGTTCTCATAGTCGTCCTCCTCCACCTCCTCGTAGAAAGGCGGGTTCCCCGAAAGCCTGCGGCCGGAGGCGGGGTCACCCCGGGTCACCCCGGAGGCCATGGCACAGGCCCCGCCCCCGGCTGTGAGCCCCTGTCCGCCCGCCCACTCACAGGATGTACATGATGACGCCGATGGCCCAGCAGTCCACGGGCCGTCCGTACCGCTGCCGGCCTACCACCTCCGGGGCTGCAAACAATTCCAACCGGGTCAGCATCAGGCCTGCCAGGCCCGGCACCATTCACACCCCCGCTGGGGCTTCCCGACCCGGAGTCCCTCGGGCAGGCGGTCCCCCCGCTGCCGCTGCCCGCCCGCCCGCGCCTGCTTGCCCAGGTACTCCGGCGTCCCGCAGGGCTCCTTGATGAGGCCGTTCTCCAGCTTGGCCAGGTGGAAGTCGCTGATGACGATCTTGGAGTTCTTCAGCCTGTTGTAGTACACCAGGTTCTCCAGCTGCCGCCAGGAGCCGCGCGGGGGTGGCAGAGACAGACCGTGAGGAGGGGGCCTCGGGGGCTGGCCTGGGCCCCCGGCCAGCCGCCCGGGCCCTCGGGCCAGGCCCCGCCTCACCTTGAGGTTCCTGTGCACAATCTTGAGCGAGTGCAGGTAGGCCACGGCCTCCAGGACCTGCCGCACCACGTTGCTCGTGTCTCGCTCCGAGTAGTAGCCCTGGTCCAGGATCCAGTCAAACACCTCCCTCCCCGTGGCCCTGAGGGACACCAGCCCCTGAGCCCGGTGCGGGCAGGACCGGGCGTGGGGCGGGAGCGCTCGGGCAGGCTGCCTACGCCGGGCGGCTGGCTGGACAAGGCACCGAACCGAGACCGGGACCCGGGGGTCCGAGGAGGGGGTTCCCCGGAGGGTGGGGGAGTCCCGGGGCCCCGGGTCCACACTCACAGCTCCAGGAAGATGAAGTACTCCTTGCGGGTCACAAACACATCCACCAGCTGCAGGATGTTGGGGTGTTTCACCCTGCGGCGAGGGGAGCACCCATCGTCAGGGCCGAGTGAGCCCAGAGACTGCTCTGGGGGCCGCAGCAGACTGCTAACTGGCCAGAGGCCCGCCCCCCCCGCCCTCTGCCCCCCCCCCCCCCCCCCCCGGGCCTAACTCACATCTTGAGGATGCCGATCTCGTTCTTGGCCGCCTTGCGCACCTTGCGGCCGTCCCGCTTCTGGAACTTCTTGCAGGTGTGCAGCTTGCCCGTGCTCTTGTCCTTGGCCCGGAAGATCTCGCAGAACTCCTCCCTGCGGCAGCGGGCACCCCCTCAGCCCGGCCTCGGCGCAGGCTGCCCGCACTCCCCTGCCCCGGCCCCGGCCCCCGGACGGCACTCACGTTTTGATGACCTGTCCCAAATCATATCTGTCCGTCACCTCCGACGGCTGGTTATAGTTCTTCTTGTCGCCCAGAGTCACACACCCAAACGGCATGGCCAGGCTCTGAGCTGTGGGCAGGATGGGCGGGATGGGGTCTGGCTCAGCCGTGCCGCTCACTCCCCACAACACCGAGGCTGCCTCTGGGAGGCCCCAGCCGGCCTCCTAGCCTGCTGGTCTGCCCAGGCCTCCAGCCACTCAGCGTGGCTACCTGAACGCCCATCGCCCCGCTCATGGAAGCGTCTTAAACGGACATATCAGGGAGTCACTGTATAATGTATGCACTGGAAAGATGGAGCGAATGATTTCTTTAGCCCTGGCAGGTGTGGCTCAGTGGGTAGAGAGAGCATCAGCCCACAAACTAAAGGGTCCCAAGTTCGCTTCTGGTCAAGGGCATGTACCTTGGTTGCAGGGCCCAGGCCCTGGTCAGTGGGTGCAGGAGGCAACCCATCGATGTGTCTCTCTCACATGGATGTTTCTCTGTCTCTCCCTCACCTTTCCACTCTCTCACAAAATTAATGGAAAAATATTCTTGGCTGAGGATTAACAATAACAAAATGGATTTTTACATTTCAGCTATTTTACAGATGACAAGGCTGTCACTGCCCACTCATCAGATAGTCATCTCTGAACGTCTGAAGATGCCGAGCGTTGGCACAGATGAGGAGAACACGGGAGCTGCTGGCGGAGAGCGAGTCTGGCCTTGGGGACCAGCTGCTAAAACGCTAGACGTCAGATATATCCTATGAGCCTGCTACTGCTCTGCTGAGATACACAGACTCACAGGATGCTCACGCACGGGTGCTCACAGCTGCAGTATTGATATTTGTCAAAAACTAGAGACAACCATGACTATATAATCTATAATCAATGTTATCAATTACAGAATCCATATAGCGTTCAAAACGGGCAGAATTACCTTGTGCTGTTTAAGGATGTAAACACACTGGCAAAGGGACAAAGGAAAGCCAGGAAATAAACACCGGGAGTCCTTCAGAGAAAGAAAGGGGTTTGACTGAGTCAGGACACCTGGGAATTCTGTTGGGCCTATTTATGAACTAAGTGATGGTTTCACAGCTCTAGAATAATTTCTAAAAATGTATATACAAGTTTGACACATTCCTAAATTTCTGTTATATTTCAAATTAAAACTGTTAAGGTAAATTTTTTAAAGTTTTTTTTTTTAAATATCTGTTACTTTTTAAAATATGTTTTTGTTGATTTTTGTAGAGAGAGAAAGGGAGGAAGAGAAACATCCGTGTGAGAGAGAAACGTTGACCGGTCGCCTCCCACACACACCCGACAGAGTCACATCTGTGAGTGGGGAGGTGCCCAGACTGGGAACCGAACCGGCGACCTTTCAATGCACAGGATGACCCGCAACCAACTGAGCCACGCTAGCCAGGGCTGCGTTTTTAAAAGTGCACATACCAGTTTATAAACTGTTCTGGAAGGACCACCAAGGAAGCAAAACTTCTCTTTGGGGCCAAGCATCGGTGTCCGAGGGGCAGGCTTGAACTTTCTGTTTGTGATCTTTGTTGGGGTTTTTACTCTGATTGCTTTCATTGATGTGATCACTGCTGCATTCAGGTACTGTGCTTGGGGGAGTCCCCGGAGGGTAGAAAAGCCAGGAGAGGCTGTGAGGGAGAAGCAGCTTGGGGCTGGGCCCGAGCGGGAAGGGTTTGCCAGGAGCCAGGCAGGGGGAAAGGCCCCGAAAAGGAAACCGAGCCGAGCCTGCCGGGCCCACAGGAGACCTCACAGGAGAGGCCCTGGCAGGGTCAGGGTTCTAGGCACAGGGGGGACTGCATGCAGCTGACTGCGGTGGGCTCCAGGCCTTCCAGCACCTGCGCCCGGCACTGGGTGCTGGGGGGACTGGCTCATCGCCCGAAGGAAAGGCAGGGCCAGTCTGCCTCCAAACGCCTGGCTGGCCCGGGCTGCGGCGGCTCCGCCCGAGGCTGCGCCAACTGCTCAGCTCTGCTCCTCCGGCCGCACACCGTCCTCACTCTCAGCCCACCGGCCGGCCTGGGCCTCACCGTCACTCAGTGCGGGCAGTGCGGGGAGGAGGCCATGGCACAGGAAGGAGCCGGGTCAGGGGGCGTCGGCCGGCACCTCCAGGCCAGGCCGCGCACAGCCCACCCCCCAGGCCGTTTGCTTCTTCCAGGCAGGGCCCACCGCTCCCGGGCCCACGGCTACCGGGCCCACCGCTCCGGGCCCAGCATTCTCCCCCCAGCCTGCCCTCGGCACAGGAGATGCCAGCAGCCCCGTCGGGCTGTGGGCTCAGGGACCGCGACGGCTCTCCCTGCAGGAGTCAGGCGGCTTAGCCATCTCGGGAGGCGCAGAGGGAGCGGACTGTGAGGGCTCCCCATCGGCGTCTCTGCCGCCACAGCCGGCACGTGGCCGGAACCCCCTCCCACAGCTGACGGGAGGCCCAGCTGCCCACCCTGCCGGTGCCATCTCTGTGCCCTAACCATGGGGGGGGGGAGGGCCGGGTGTGCGGTGACCGCCTTCCCGGGCTGGGCCCCACAGGGAGCACAGCTCTGTGGCTCTGCCTACACGGCTCCCTCTGACATGCCCTCCCCCGCTCCCAGTCTCCCATTGTCACGCCAGAGATATTTATAACCACCAACAACCAGCCACTACCAAACATCACCAACAGGTGACCGACCGCCAGCTCGGCAGAGGCCCTCCAGGCTGCCAGTGCGGGCACACCTTCCTGCCCTCCGTGCCCAGCAGCCTCCGGGCAGCCAGTGTGGGCACACCTTCCTGCCCTCCGTGCCCAGCAGCCTCCGGGCAGCCAGTGTGGGCACACCTTCCTGCCCTCCGTGCCCAGCAGCCTCCGGGCAGCCAGTGTGGGCACTGCCTTCCTGCCCTCCGTGCCCAGCAGCCTCCGGGCAGCCAGTGTGGGCACACCTTCCTGCCCTCCGTGCCCAGCAGCCTCCGGGCAGCCAGTGCGGGCACTGCCTTCCTGCCCTCCGTGCCCAGCAGCCTCCGGGCAGCCAGTGTGGGCACACCTTCCTGCCCTCCGTGCCCAGCAGCCTCCGGGCAGCCAGTGTGGGCACACCTTCCTGCTCTCCATGCCCAGCAGCCTCCGGGCAGCCAGTGCGGGCACTGCCTTCCTGCCCTCCGTGCCCAGCAGCCTCCACGGCCCCAGGCGCCGACCCGGGCGGCATCTCCTTTACTGTGACCCGGCCGGGTGCTGGAGCAGCAGCCGGTCTGAAAGCATCCCTGCTCCAGACCCAAAATGGCCCTTCCCCGAATGCCATCCATCCCCCCGACTCCCCACCCACCCCACCGCACGGCCCTCGCTCTGACGCACGCGTGGGAGGCTTCGCCTGGGCCTGTCCCTGGTCTCAGCCGGCTTCTGGCCACGCACCTGCCCTTGTGCCCACAGGGCCAGGGCTGCACAGAACCCGCCTGCGCCCACCGTCCCAGCAGCCGGAGGGGCCGCATCCTCCAGGTCCTGGAGCCTCGAGGGCAGGGCAAGGCCTTCCACCTGCCCCCTCCCCCCCACCAGGTGCTGCTTCTCGCCAGCTGACTGCTCCCTGGCTCCCACCCCCACCCAGGGCCCAGGGCGGGAGAGAAGAAAGGGGCCCGGGAATGAATGCCTCGGTCCCTCCACCCCCTCCGCTCTGCCATCTGCCACCCACTGCTGCCACCTGGGAGGCTGCTGGCGCTCCAAGCCCCTAGCACTTGCCTGCGACAGCGGGGAGAGGGCCGGCCCCTTCCAGAGCCAGGAGGTCTGACCCCGAGGCCCAGACTCAGCTCAGCAGGGGGGGTCTCCCCGCAGTGACCCCGAGCCTGGCTCTGCCCAGGTCCACTGGGAGGGCGCAGGAGCCCCGAGCGCCAGTTTCCCCCCTCTCCCTGCAGAGAAATGGGATGGTGTGCGCAGGGCTGCCCCGGCCTCCAGCAGCTCCCCTGGAGCCGGAGGCCAGGCTGTCAGCCTGACCCCCCTCGGGGAATGGAGCCTGAGGCCCCGAAGGCAGCCTCCGACTGACTGCAGGGCCCGGCACTAAAGGTCCCAGGTGGAGAGGTGTAAGGCGAGGCCGGCCCACGGGAAGCGTCAGTGGGACCAAGGCCAGCTCAGGGGCCCCAAAGTCCCACAGGGGAGTCCGTCCCTCCTTCCCCAGGGTCAGGCCCCACCTTGCTCTGCCACAAACAGGCGTTTGCCGCCCCGGGCTCCGCTGGCACGCAGGTTCCACAGCTCCCCGAGCCCCGGAGGCTGGGGGGCCGGCCCGGGCCAGGGAGGCCTCCGACAGCTGCAGGCAACACCTCCCGATTTAGTGGCATCTGTGAACCCCTGCAGGCGCCTCCCTCCCCGGCTCTCCTCTGCCATGGACTTGCCTGGGCCCAAGCCCTGCCCGCCCCCCCCAAGGCCTCCGGGGCAGGTCCAGGGGATGCAGAGACCCCGAGCTCAGGGTCTGGCCTCGGAGGCAGAGCTGGGCTTCCCGGCCACCGTCCAGCTGCTGTGGGGGGACCCGGGAGGCCCAGGCTGGGCCTCAGCCCTGGCTGACCCACCGTCCGTCCAGTCCCTGCGGCCACTCCCTCCCGTCCAGCCAGGTGTCCCAGAGAGGGGCGGCATGCAGCCCAGTGTCCCCTCTGGAAAGTTCAGTCCTCACCGCGCAGGCAGAGCCAGAGGGTCCCTGTCTTTCAACCCCCGAAAGCAGCCCTGTGGGTGGAGGAGGGGATGCAGGGGAAGCCTCAGAGAGCAAGGGGTTGCTATGGTGATGGAAGTTTTAAAACAAGGGGAGGGGGAAGGGAGAGATGGCGGCCAGACCCCTTGGTGAATTCGCTGGGGCTTGGGGCAGGTTCCGCCCCAGGGGTTCCGGGGCCCCCAGAGGGTGGGGAGGAGGGGGCATTGACAAGAGCGAGTGGAGCAGGGACTCAGGGAGACAAAGGCACGGCCTGGGAAGGAAGGGGGCAGAGAGGGCCCGAGGGAAAGGACGCAGCCCCAGGACACAGAGGGGAAGCGGGCCGGGCTCCTGAGGGCCTTTGGGTGCCAGAGAGCCCTCAGGAATGCCACGTGCCCTGCACACCTGGCTGGGACCGCTGGGCGCTCC